CGATCCCAGTGAGAATTAAGGTGTAGAGATGATGGATGGATGTCCTTCAGCGGACTACCACAGCCTAAAAACATTGTATATGAACAACAACATGTACGTGTCAGTGGTCCTGGTTTAGACCAACCAGTGTTATTCTTTGTGTGTCCACGAGCACTTAAGGCTTCATGTGACGTAAACTTGTCATTTCCTCGAGTCCACTACAGTTTGTGTGGACCCCTTCACACATATGCAGCCCAGAATTGGCACAGGTCTCACAGGGCAAAGGCAGCAGTGTGTGTGCATGTGCAGAATACGTAGATAGAACCTACTGCAGATGTGTGCAACAGAAAACACCCACAGACTCATAAGGAGTACACAAACAACCACATGCATCCGTTGTGTGTATGTACAAGGGGTGGAACTCAGGCTTTAGTCTGACCAAAGCCAGAGAAAGAAAGAAACAGAAAGCAAACCACTGCATGAAGCACAGATATATTCTTTACACTGTAGAAAGTTTTGCTCAGGAAGAATCTTCTCTGTGCAGATTTCTTCTCTTTGTTTTTTCTCTGTCTGCAGATTCGATTGTGAGAGTCAAGATGTTGGACTTTACAGGAAACACAGTGGACAGCGAACTAAAAGAACGGGAGTGCAACAGAAGTCAGGACGAGATCCTGTTGAGACGAATCACTGCTGTTTCATTTGCTCCTCTGTGTTCAGCCTGAGGGAGCTGACGTCAGTCGCTTTCTCCTGCTGACTCCAGACTCCTGCAGTTCCCACAACTGTCTCTGCACAGCTGAGTCTCACACACACACACACACACACACACACACACACACACACACTTCAGCCACACCCCTTGTACAGCAATTTGTGAAAACACTGACTTCTTAAATTACAAAAGCCATAACAACCAGACTGGAGTTGAACTTTGAATCAATCCTCTCGGGGTTGAGACCTTACAGCTCCACATCTGTTCACGTTATTAGCGCCGGTGGTCAAAGCGGGCACTTCACCACCAATCCCCTGGCAGAGTTAGAGTGTTCCCTTTGCTCCACAAAGGCTTGTAGCATCGACTCTGCTCCCCGTCTGACATCCAAACTCAAACGTCACAGTTGAAATAAAAACCTCTGCCAGCGTCTGTCCTCTCCGCGTTCAGCGTGAAGGCAGGCTTGGGTTTCTCAGATGGATTAGTGGAACGTTGTGGAGGCGGGCAGGCGTTGGTAAGCCTAACGATCATGTTAGCTGTGCTTTGCCAACAGCCTTTGAAGCAGGGAGAGCATAGAGGTTCAGATTTCATGACTCGGACCATTAAAAACACCAAAAGAAACCTAAGGGACACTGGATTGTGTTTAGTGACTGGATTGAAGAAAAGCACACATGAGAAGGGGCTGTTGGAGGGTGGTGAAGACAGAAGGGTTTGTAGATGTTTTGTTCCACAGTTTCACATTAAATTGATGCTGTTGCAGGTTTACATGTGTTGCTCTAATCTTCCAGGCAGACACTGGTTTGCATTTACTTTGTACTTAACAGAAACACTCTCGGTTCTGCCAGTTGTGAGATCTGAGGATGTCTGTTGGTCCAGATGAGATGAAATCAGCACCACTGGTAAAGCTCAATGAGCAGCATGTCATGTTCCCTCTAAACTAGTTCATAAAAGCAGCCTCTGGCCATGAAATCACGTGTTTCTAGTTGTAAAATGTTGGTGTGACGTCATTTAAAAATGAGGATAACAGCGTACATGCTCAGAACGTTGCTCCTGGAGAACATTGATACGCTTACATGAAAAACGCTGTAAATGTTGAGCAGCAAATGAAAAGAAAGCCAGTCGCAGTATGTGTGGATGTTGGGAGGTTACAGACAGTAGGCGACACAGACACCCCCTGGCTGTGGAAAAATGCTCATAAACACTGATTCTCCTCTGAATCAAGCACAGTGGAGGAGCAGCACTGTGACTCCCCTCGCTCTGTTTGCTGTGATGAAAGTTTGGGTGTCTGTGCAGGGATTCCTGTTTATCTGTGAAGGATGGTCGGCTGCTCTGCACGATGAAGGGCAGAGGATGGCTGGAAAACGTGAGACAAAGCATCTTCTAATTGCTGCCTCTGATAAACTATTTGACGAACAGTCTGTGTCAAAAGAGCAACAAACCGAGGTCTTGATGCAATGAGCCAAAATCTGAATTCTCTTCTGCAGGGTGTCCACATGTCTAGAAGCACAACAGCGACTCCTCCACAGAATGAACAGTCACCAGCTGACAGAGTCCAGATATGAAATGTGACAGTAACCCTGTGTTTTTATAGATCAGATGAGGCAGAGTTCAATCAAACACGTTTACAGTGACGGGTCTATTGCATTTTCACACATCTCTGGGTAGCGGTGACTCAGTGGTTAAGGCTTTGCGCTGCTGATTGGAAGGTCAGGGGGTTCAAGCCCAGCAAGCTGCCACTGCTGGGCCAATGAGCAAGGCACCTTAGAGAGGCATTAACAGGACCTCAAGGACCTAAGGACCTGGAAAATGTTGGTGAGGACAAGGATGTAGGGAATGCCGACTTAACTCTGGATAAGCAGAAGAAAATGGAGGGATGAAAAAATCTGTGGTGGATTGAGAACATCCATCAGCTCTACACCTTAATCCTCACCAGGGTGGTGGGGAGGTGTAGTCTATCCCAGCTGACTCAGGGTGAAGGCAGGTTCACCTGGACAGGTAACCAGTCTATCACAGGGCTACACTTAGAGACAGACAACCAAGCACACTCACATTCACACCTACGGACAATTTACAATCACCAATCAACCTCAGCATGTTTCTGGACTGTGGGAGGAAGCCGGAGAACCCGGAGAGAACCCACGCTGCACGGGGAGAACATGGAGACTCCAAGCAGAAAGATCCCGGGTGTCCTCACCGGGACGCCAACCGGCAACCTTCCAGCTGCGAGGCGACGGTGCTAACCACCGAGCCACCGTGCAGCACGAGCACGATGTTTTAACTTCTGCGTGCACACCACAGCCGTACAGTTTTTATGAACGGACTTGGATGGATGTGATTTGGGTTTTTGGGTTCGACCCGCTGCATTATCCTTTAGAAAACCTTCTCCCAGAACAACAATACATTCATGCCTGTAACAAACTTCAAGACTTTTATTTCTCAAGGTCCAGAAACATTATACAGGGAAAACGAGTTTCTTCAATCCTCCATCATGAACCAAAGCGGCTGACATCAAACGTGGTTTCTACAGCCTCTTTTCATCATCGTCTCAACACCAGGCAACATGTCACATAACAGCTGTGTGGTTTTCTTGTTCAATGCTGTCTTCAAGTACTTCCATTATGATGCAGGTTTGATAGTTCAGACTGTTGCGTATGTAAACAGGAACTGAAGGCCGTCCTCGACTCGACGTCACACTGTACAAAAAATACGAAATACTACAAAAACGTTGCATCCCTTGAAGAAATTCTTTTCAGTAGCAACAGCAACACATCTACCACCATGTCGGTTTGTATAAAAAGACCCTGCAGCAGCAAAATCTGTCTCTAACCACGCAGCACTGCCCCCTCCCTTTGCATGTACATGAAAAGTATTTACAACATTGTAGGAAACACGTAGCTGAGGCACAAAAATGCCCAAATCCAAAAGGTTAAAAATAAACTATCCTTTCAAGAACACTTTTGGCGTTGATGAAAAAAAAAGAATTATTTCCATCAAAAAGTCAGCAGCTTACAAAGCTGTCAAACTCTCAACTCTAAACTCATAAATTAACAAAAGGAATATCTTAAGGCTCTTGACAATTAAGTTAAGAAATCAAATATACACAGTGATTAATTAAAAAACTATTTACACGTCTATACAGGAACATTCTACACGGACGATTCTTCATATTGGCAGCAGCTGCCGACAGACTGACCACATCCCCCCACCCACCCGAAAAAATGCAAAATAAATAGTTTTCTTCAAATTTGTCAGGTGCTGTGGTGCAACAAGGCAGCAGCACCCTCGAATACAAAACCGATCCGTTAGGAATGCTGTCCAAATCCTGGCATCCACAAGTAGGAGATCCAGCCAACCGCAGTGGACCGTTCTGACCAGCGTCAGTCAAAACATAAATTAAACAGCAAAAGTCCATCATTAATGAACTTTTGCATAACAAAGAAAACGTAAACGAATGATCAAAACATCCCCGATGGGTCACAAAAGTCTTCCACAGATGGTTTCTGATCTCCTTCCAGTCACTGCGAGCCCCCTTGGCTATACAATGTACTCCACCCGGTTAACACTCCGCGACTGCAGTTGCCTGTTGTCCTGTTTGCTAGTCCAGTGGGGAGGTTTGCTCGCTGTGTGGTGGGCGGCGCGCTCCTCCCAGTCTACCAGCGAGTACGCCGGCGGTGTCAGAGGGAACCTTGCTTTCTGCAGCCTCTTGTCCACCTCGTCTTCGTCCGACTGGCTTCCACTGTCTGCTTTTCTTATCTTGGCGTTGACGGAGTTCTTGTCCTCGTAGAGGTGGTGATGGAGGAGGAGCTGGTGCTGCTGGTGGTGGCTCGGTGGGTTTTTCTCGATGGGGTTCTTGATGTGGTTGAGCTGCTCGCGGGCCGTGCTGATGCTGTTGTGGAGGGCGTTGTTGTCTTCGGCCGCGGGCGCTAAAGACGACGAGGCCTGGGTGCTGACTGCCGTGTGGGTGTTCAGCTTCCTCCGCCTTCGGATGCACCACAGCAACGCCGAAGCAACTGCCAGCGCCCAGACGACGACTATCACCGACACCAGGAGGGGCATCAGGTGATCTGGGAAACAGAGGATGTGGAAGTCAGTGAACACACTCAAGACAGTTCAGTAACAATCATCGTGCTGCAACTGACAATGAGCCTCACTTATCATCTGTGGCTTATTTTATTTTTTGGCTTTTTTTTTTGGCTTTTTGGACCACGAGCGGGATTTGAACTCATGACGTCAGAGAACTTCAGCCCCTGAACATGGAACAGCAGCTCAACCAGGTGAGCTATAGCAGCGCCCCTGTTGCTTATTTTAATCAATGAGCGATTAGTTGTTTAGTCTATAATGTGTTGATTGGTCCAAAAGAAAATGTGAATTAATGTGCGTTTCCTTTTCATGACATTATGTGAATATTTGGAAAACACAACGTGGAATCTGAAGACTTGTGTCTCCTGTGATTCCATGATTTATTTGCAGTGTTTTCAATTGAACACATCATTTAAAACGAATTCCATCCAGAGAAGCATTTTGGTACCATTTCAGAAATAGTTCCTGTATTCTAACACGCCTGAAAACGTCTCTGAGAATGATCCGCAATTGACACTTAAGGCCCAGTCAGGGTGTAAACATCAACTCTGGTTCTGCCAGTCGAGACTAAAACACAACATTGCGCTTCTAAAAGTCTCAGTTTTAGGGGTTCTGAAGCTCCTGATGGTATGTACGGTAGGTACAAATGTACAAGTCGTTGTGCGTTTTAATATGAACACAGTGTGTTGCACTGCACTTTGTCAGGATTTGTATTTCACTGCAGCCAAGCCAAAACATTTTGGTGACATTTTAAATGGCTTTTAAATGTCCAGGGCATGAAAACAGACATGCAGCACACTGTAACCCTGTGCAAACTGTCATCACAGGACCAGACATTTTGGAAGTCTACTTGCTGTGTGTCCAATAGAGAAATGTTTAGCCTAGCTTAGCACAGAAGCAGGCAGAAGCTGCATGCTTCGTCACAAGCTTGTCGTTTTAACTTGCGAGCTGTTACCAGGTTGACGTTATACGTGGAGTATGAGACCACATAGAGCTGCAACGATTAGTCCAACAAATGGTATTACTGTGTGCTGATAGAATTTAGTCTTTTTACATTTAAGTGACACGGCACAGGGGTGTACTCAGTTCTGTTCTATATCATTTTGTAGAAAACACTGCCTGACTGCTGCAGTCTGAAGTCAGAACTGTGTTAGTCACTGTTTCCAGCTCCAGCACTAACGGCTGTAAAAACCACAACGGCTTCTTTTCACATTTCTACTGTGAACGTAGAAGGTTGTTTAAATCGCACAGACTTGGGGTTTTGGGGGAGACGGATGTTTTCTGTTGGACTCAACTTGGCCAACGGTTTACTACCAGTCTCTCATTTGTCTTATTTACAGAAAACTCCACTTGGTTCAAAATCATCAGACGGAAATGAGTCTTCGTACGTATGCAGCTTGACAAAATAGCCTCACTTCACAGTCCAACTGCTGGATTTTCAACCACATCTCATGATCCTCTCACTGAATACGTTTGCTCAGTTTTCACTGAGTTGTAAATGGTTGAACTTATATAGATCTTCTTCACCTTAGTGGGGCTCAAAGCGCTTTACAATTTCTCATTGGGGGCAACTTTGGGTTTGGTGTCTTGCCCAAGGACGCTTCAACATTTGGTGGCGTGGAAGATTGAAGCGCCAACCTTGGGATGAGTAGACGGCCTGTTCTACCCCCATATATGTTAAAGAATGGTCTTTGGCATCAGAGAAAGCTAGACAGTGTTTTCATGCTATAATTCCCAAAGTGAAGAGTCACACTCAAACATAAAAGAGAGTTGTCAAGCGTTGATGTTCTTTCCAGCCTTGTGGACAAGCTGTAGCTCACCATTGGGGTTTTGGTGCTGTTGTCTCTGGATGCGGACCTCTGCGATGGCGCTGATGATGGTGCTGTTGGCGCTGCTCTTGCTGACCAGATCCATGATCCTGTCTGTGATTTCCTTGACAAAGGTCAGACCTCTCCTCTGGTCGTCTGTTGACTGAATCATTCAGCAGAACATCTCTGTTACCATCTATCTGAGACATTTCAGTAAATAAATGCCAGTTTCAGGATCCTCTGATCACTGCTTCCGCTCAGGACTTGAATTGCTCTGACTACATCGGTGGTTTGAAACCATCCTGTGACCTTTAAAAACGTTTAACTTTCTAGTTGTAGCACCAACATTACTGACAGTCTTCTCACTTGGTTTCACTTTTTTAGAACCTCAGAGAGCTTAATCCTGTTCCATTTTGTAACTCTTGACTTCTGGTAAACGTTTCATGTGAAGCTCAGTGGGAATCCTAACGAGATCAGCTGATGACTGGCACTCTGCTGCTCCGTCACCGTTACACTCCACCATACAGACTTGTTTTAGACTTTGTGCCACTCTTAAGCTTTTCATGATAGACTAAATATTACTCACGATGGCGACGTGGATCTCATTGCTGGTGCTGAGCGACGGCTCGCAGGTCATAGAGATGGAGAAATCCGAGGAGAGGTTCTTGACGATGTAGAGGCTTCTGAGCTCACGACAGACCCGCTCCACTGTCACGTCCTGGAACGCCACAGCAAAGGCGAAACGTTAACGACCACAGCATGTTGGCAGAATAGGATTAAACTGGGATTTTATTTTTACAAGCATAACAGATATTTTGTTTATCAAAAGATCAGAAGAAACAGAAAACTGAATGTATTTCTAGTCGGTAACACCAAATCATTCCTCATGCTTATTGTCAGCAAAACCCTGATAAGATGGTGAGGATTTGATGATTTTATGAAACTAGGAACGAGTTACTTTGGTTATCAGACGTACAAGGATTTTAATGATGACACAGTTTCAGGTCCTTTTACCTTTCTATTCTTTCTGCTTGTTTGAGTCTAGGATTTGGCCAGTGGCAGGAAACAAAGCCAAACTAACCTTTGCCATGACGTCCTTGTTGAAGGTAAAGGTGACGTTAGCACAGTTGCTCTCGGCGTGACACCTGGTCGAGGGCGTGGCTCCGTGGGCGGGGCCCCAGCACTCTCCTTGGCCGAGGCAGGGCTTGACAAAACAGCGTTCTTCACGGACAGCGACACAGGTCTGACCTGCCGGACACTCTGCACCACGAGTCTTGCTGAGGAGGCTACAAGGTTTAGGTCCACACCAGAGCTGCCGGAGTCAAAGTTCAGTGAAGGAGGTTAGATTTTACCAAAATTTATGATAAACTGCCTCAACCAGCCAGCGAAAAAATGTCTGCATAAGGAGGACTCTTTGCCTCTGATGCTTACATTTGGGCAGTAATCTGGAAAAAATTTAAAAATAAAAATCTGAAAATGCTGGACGAAATACAGCCTTTGAATGCAGTAGTGTTAACTGAAATTAAGTATTTTTACAACTAGTCTGAGATCCAATGAGCCTGTAAGACTGTCACTTTTTCTATTTGCATGGGTGATAAATAAAGCCTTGTGATTCCATGTGTTAAAGAGAAAAAGCTTAGAGTTCTGAGTTTAGTATATTAAGAAGAATAGCTGCAGCAAAGCCACAGCTATTCTCCCTGGGGTCCAACAGAATTATATATACAAGAAAACAGAAAACATTGTAAAAACAAAGCCAAACAAAAGCCAAGTGAGCTTTTACACTTCCTCACATTTTGATATATACATTATGAGAACTTGTGTCACATAACCTTGTGCATTATCATTTCATTATTATATTGTATTTTCTGTATATATATATATATATACATATATTTCAATCATACATACTATATATTCATGTCATATGTGTTGGAAGAAGAATGCAACAGTGTTTTGCACACATGAATCCAGATAAGGTCTCAGCTGTACCTTTGTGCAGGTGACTTTTCCATTGTTACAGCTGCAGCTGTTGCAGTCGTCATTCCATCTGCTTCCATCCAGAGCCACCTGCCCTCCGAACACACAGGACCTCCCGGACACTGCAGCACAAACCCACCAGCAGCACAGGCGTTACTCACAGTCATATGATTACTACTTTTTTCTTTTTCTCTGTTAACAGGTGGTAAGGGACATTTGCTTTCTGCTACATGTGTTGAACAATGTGAGACATGGCTGTGGAGGATTTGGTCAGCTCTACAAGTAAAGTGATGTAATCACTTTTCACTGTCCAACGTGTAATCGATTAAGGTTTTTAAGTGACTACCTCGGTGCTGTCTCTGTGTGCAGATAATCCGAGGACAGAAGTAAGAAGCATTCTGTTTAGCAATCTATTTAATTCATCAGAAGTTTCATTAGGACTAAGTTCTGTTTCTTTTTTCTTGATCAGATTTTTGAAATCTTTTGTGAAATGACGTGAGAGCTGACATCAGAACTGCTGAGCACCAGTTTGATCAGTTGTGCCAAATGTTTGGAGCCAAATGTGCCAACATGTCACTATTTCATGCTGTTTTATTAGCATGTTGAATGAAAATGGGTTTGGGTCCATTTTCAGTGTGATGGTGAGTCAACATTTTGCGGGTCCAGAACATGTGTCAGAACTCAGACACAACGTGTAAATCATAGAAGTGACTGAACGCAGCAGGCTTTACCGTCTTGGCAGCGGGGACCAGTTCTTCCTGGAGGACAGCTGCAGCGGTAACCGTTAATTTCATCCACGCAGGTTGAGCCGAATCCACAGGGAGACGACTGGCACTCGTTGATGTCTGAAACAGAGGAGTCATCTTTTGAAATCATGTTAACTGGACATCCTCTGTAAATAAATCTGCCCCTCTTCAGCAACACAGAGACGTTACAGGCTGAGAAAAAGTCCAGCTCAGGGTATCACACAGTTAGCTATGGAGTTCCACAGGGCTCTATGTTTGGACCAATATTATTTACTTTGTACATGCTCCCCTTAGAAGATATTATTAGGAAGCGCTGCATAAATTTCCACTGTTATGCAGACGACACCCAGTTATATTTATCTATGAAGCCAAATGAAACCAATCAGTTGGTCAAACTCCAGGCATGTCTGAAGGACATTAAGGCCTGGATGACCTGGAATTTCCTTCATTTAAATTCAGACAAAACTACAGTTATTGTATTTGGCCCTAAACACCTCAGAAACACACCATGGAACCAGATAGCTGCTTTAGATGGCATCGCCTTGGCCTCCAGTTCTACTGTGAAGAACCTTGGAGTTGTTCTTGACCAGGACATGTCGTTCAATGGTCATATAAAGCAAGTCTGTAGGACGGCCTTCTTTCATCTACGTAATCTGGTAAAAATCAGGAATATGCTGATGCTGAGAAACTCGTCCATTATTTATAACTTCTGGACTGGACGACTGTAATTCCTTATCATCAGGATGTCCCAATAACTCTCTCAAAAACCTCCAGCTGATCCAACATGCTGCAGCCAGAGTTCTAACAGGAACCAGTAACAGAGATCATATTTCTCCTGTGTCAGCTTCTCTTCATTGGCTCCCTGTAAAATCCAGGATAACATTTTCCAGTTGCCCCAGTTGCTACAAACACCAGAAACAGATAACCATATATACTACAGATAGTTTACCATCTACATTCATTCATTTCCATACAACTCTCTGCTGAAAAACACCAGACGCTGTTGGTCACAGTTGAGCCACTTATGGCTTCAAGCTTTGATTCAGGTCTGACAGTGTTCAGTTAAACTCAGGGAACTGAAGCTTTAGAAAAGATGCCCTCAACACAAGACAAAAAAAAAAAGAGGAAATAGACAGAAGCATAAAAACAGATTGGGAATAATACAGTGTGGCATGAATGGATGCGTCAAAGGTCAACACTCACTGATTCTGCAGTCTGGGCCGGCAAAACCCGGAGCGCATTCACATCGGTACCAGTTGTCCCCGTCGACGCAAGTGCCGCTGTTGTAACTGCAGGAAGACAGAGGTGATTAGTGGCATCTGCACCGTGTGCATCAAAGTCTAACAGGGCGAAGAAGACGCCCGTCACAGATGGAAGAACAACCTTTTGTTCTGTTTGACTCAGCAGTAAAAATACAACAAAACAGCTTTGAATCCAAACCGTGACCTCACAGGGCCGGGACCCTCATGCCTAACCCTGAGCTTAATCATAGACAGAAAAACTTTTTCCTCCACTGATTGGTGTTTTTCAGATATGAGCAGTTTCCCGACTCTGTGGTTTGGAAACCGGAGTGGGAACATAGCAGATAAAAAGTCAAACTGGCAGAAACTTTGTTGTTTTGTTCCAGAATAGATTTAGCAAAAGGAGAAACAAGGAGGAGGAGGAGGCCAACAGAGAGAATTTAATGAAGGATATGACGGTTTAACACCGTAAATAACTACAAATGTGACATCTGTTTAGATTTGAGTTGAAGATAAACAAGGATATCTGACACCAGGACTTTCAAAATCAAGTGTGTTTGAAAACTTTGTGTATTTCGGCTCGCTATAAAAAGAAAATGTTATATTTGATGATGTTTTTGGTTGAACACCAGCAGTAATAAACATGAGACCGGCGCTGGACGGGAGTATCTGGACACATTCAGTGTGTTTAGCAATGCGCTACATGTCTATCAGTGTTTCAGGTTTAAATAATTCGGCTTAACTCACCAGGGATGAGGACTGCAGTCGTTGGCATCTGGAAAAATAAAGAAATAATATGTTTATTTAGACGCCTCTCATTGTGTCTCTTTAGTCCAACTATCTTCCTGTATGTCTGGATCGTATCAGCGATATAATGATCAGCTTCTAGCTACGTCCATGTCAACATACAGAAGCATTTAGAACAAGGAAGTGACATTTTTCTGTAAACTCTGACATGTCCAACTATATGCTCAGCTGTCTGTCTTTGTGTATTTGTAGCGCATGTTATAAAATATTGTGCTAGCATTTGGGGTTTGAGGACAAAAGACACTCATTTGAAGATAATAATGTACAGATGTTGGCCTGCAGGGAGGACAGATGGTTTGAGAGAGGAGTGGAAGAAGCTGTCTATGTCAAACTGGAAAGACCATCCCTCAACAGAGGTGGAGGTCTGAGGCATCACCTCTCACCTGTTTACAATTCAGTCCTAAGATCTCTCCCCAGGAAGATGAAACCACATCCACACCTAGACCCTAACGAACCCCATGTGGCAGGGGGAGCACTAACGACTCACATAACGAGGGGGAGGAGCAACAAACCCCCAATTGAAACTCAGGTGTTAATGGCTCCTTAAGGATATCTGGAACCCCCAACTAGTCAGTCAGAGCTGATGAAGCCTCTTGGATGAGAGGTGGAACGTCTTCAAGGAGCTCAAGCAGGTCCAGTTGCTACCATTAATCTACGAGAACATACAACTGGAAGGTCCCAACTTTGACCAGTGAGCTGACCTTTGTGTGTGTCTTCAGACAGACATGACATGAAACAACTTGCCGGTGAAACTGTGTGGAACAAAGAGTGGTGTGTGTTAAACAAGAGGTCGGGTTGATAAGTGCTGACTCACTGTGGCTGCAGGTGGCGCCGCCCCAGCCCTCCTTACAGAAGCAGCGGAACGAGTCTTCGTCCACCACACAGGTCCCTCCGTTCTCACAGGGACTCGGCAGACAGCTGCTGTTCTTTGCTGGAGAGACAAATTCAGCTTTTAGCCCCCTGACTTGACAACAAAAGACACCAAAAAGAAAAAACGGGTTTGCGTCCTGACCGATGCTGCAGGCGGATCCCTCCCAGCCGGCGGCGCACACACAGCTGAAGGTGTCGCCTTGGTCGTGGCAGGTTCCTCCGTTGTTACAGGTGGCTTCATCACACTGGCTCTCTCCTGGAAGTCAAACAGAAGCCTTCAGTGAGCCACATCCCCAGCACACAGTTTACACAAGTTAAAGAAATCACTGCACCTCTGATGCAGACGGTTCAGGTTGCCACCATTTAACACAGACCCCGACTATCATGAAGGATTTTACGCACCACATATTTGCTCTAACTGATTATTATGTGCCGCTTTCTGGGATAACCAGACTTTAGGACTGTATATTACCATTTATTAATCATTCTTTTAACTATATTAGATTGTAATGTAAATCAGAGCACATACATCTTTCTTGTCTTGCTGCTGAGACCTATGAACTGATTTATGACATTAAGAATCGGTGACGCTGTTCATCTCTGAGCAACGTTTGAAGCCTAAACTGACTCTATGTCCGACACCAAGATTATATTTCACATGTAATAAAATACACATTTCAGAGAAGAAAGGAAGCAAACAGGCCAGAACGCTTAAAGAAAACTGATTAGTCAGATACTACTCCAATCACACACTCGAGGACTCACTTGAGTGACACGTCTTTCCCTTCCAGCCGTTGCTGCACTCGCAGTGGAAGTCGCTGACCAGATCTCGACAGACGCCTCGGTTCTGACAAGGAGCAGAGCTGCAGTCGTCGATGTCTGGATGATAAGAAGACAACATGAAAACACGTCCACCATGTCCACCGTTTCTGCTACTGCAGCCGAGGACGACGAGGACTCACTGTTCTGGCAGGTGGGTCCGTCCCAGCCTTCAGCACAGACACACTGATACTGACTGACTTTGTCGATGCAGGTTCCTCCGTTCAGGCAGGGGGCGCTCTCACAGTCGTTTATATCTGACGAACAAAGGGACAGAAAAGGAAAAGAATCATATGTTTAAGTATATTGTTGAGATCTACAGAATAGTGCATACAGAAGTATTCATTGAATACTTGGACACAGAGGAAATAAAGGCAAGTTAACAATGAAAAAATGAGAAGCTGGAAGATTGTCTATCCATCCATCCATCCATCCATTATCTCTACGCCGCTTAATCCTGGCGGGAGTTTAGGGTGAAGGCAGGTTCACCTGGACAGGTAACCAGTCTATCACAGGGCTACACTTAGAGACAGACAACCAAGCACACTCACATTCACACCTACGGACAATTTACAATCACCAATTAACCTCAACATGTTTCTGGACTGTGGGAGGAAGCCGGAGAACCCGGAGAGAACCCACGCTGCACGGGGAGAACATGGAGACTCCCCGGGTGTCCTCACTGGGATGCGAACCAGCGCAGTGCTGTGAGGCTGTGAGGCGACGGTGCTAACCACCGAGCCACCTTGCAGCCCAAAAGCTGGAAGATTGTAAGTAACAGAGACACATTTAAGCCTAATGCACTCACTCTCATGGCAGTAGGTCCCAGTGAATCCTTCCTCACATTCACAGCTGAACTGTCCACCGCCGTGACTCCGGCACCGGCCGTGAGGCCCGCACACGTTGGACGAGATCAAACGCACCCCAGTCGGCGTACTGTTGGACGCCACTGCCACTGTGCAGCTGTCAATCACTGGGGAGGAGAAACATTATATTCCAGTGTTATGAAGTTTCTAAGCAGTCAAACAGGACATCAAAGTGATGAACAGGAACCGGGTTGATGCTGAACCTTTGCAGGGTGTTGTGCGGCAGTGGTCCTTCAGGCGCGAGCAGTTCTTGCCTTCGTAGTCTTCAGGGCATTTACAGACGTAGTCGGCCGCCAGGTTGAAACACTCGCCGCCGTTTTGGCACGGACTGTGGAGACAGTAATCGATATCCAGCTGCAGAAAGAGAGAGAACAACTCAGCTTCTCTATGACGCCTGTACGATGCACGTCTCCATGGTAACCGCCTCTGGATCGCCAGCAGGTGATTATTGATATTATTAGAATAATCAACAGCTACATCAGTATTATTGTAATTAAACACAGTGTAAGCCAGTATCAGGGTACTGTTCGGATCTTGGTGTGGTTGAGACAAGCTGCTCATTCTTTCAGGTCCATCAATCAATCAGGCTGACACCAGGGATATTTTAGATTTTCTTTGATTTACATTTCAGCAGCGGCTGAGGACTCACCTGACAGCGACTTCCAGAGAAACCAGGTGGACACAGACAGTGGAAGCCGTTGACCTCGTCGTGGCAGCGGCCGCCGTTCAGACACGGTCCGCTGGAACACTCGTCCACGTCTTTCTCACAGTGTTCACCACCAAAACCAGGAGCACAGTCACACTTATAAGCATTTAGTAGGTCCTGAAGGAGAGAGAGATGACAAACACAGCGTTACCATTCAGTACATTAACTGGACTGTCGTGTCACCTCAGGGTGTTTGGCGTTCAGCAGTTTTGGAAAACCACCAGTTTTTTGATTGATTGCATTGATTGAGGCACCATCGGTTTTAGATCACAGTAAAACTTTGTTCATGGTGAAGCACTGACACCTTTAACTGTAAGTCTCAAAAACACAGATTCACACACATTCCACACACACACAGGCACACACACACTTGTTGTTTATAGCTTATAGGTGAAGAAGAAACCAAGTGAGGGCTGCAGAAAGAAAAGGCTTGAAAACAAACTGGCCTCCAAACAGGAAGTGAGGCTCACCTTGCACGTCGCTCCGTTCTGACACTGACCTTGACAGTCATTGATATCTGCAGAGACAATCAACAGAAATGTTTAAAAAGACTTGTAGTCTGAGCAGAAACATCAAAACCCGGTGTTCTTTCAGGGAAGTTCACATACATAGAATACTGAGTCCACTCTGGTTGAAGCACTCATCTGAGACATTAAAACTACAGCTGGTGCTGCTTCACAAGCTCCTCGATACAGAATGAAAGCGCCGCTCTGATACAAATGACTGCTTCGAGGTCACATTTCTAATTTGTTTCCGTGCTCGTCTCCTTTCTGCTCTGTGTAAACACAGTTCAACCCAGTTCAGTTGAAAAGTCCCTGATTTCTGTCAACTGACTGTCGGTTGCAGCTAAAGGCCTGTCGGGTGTTTAACAGAACCCGGTTGGAGCAAAAGGTTCTGTCAAAGTTTTCAAACGACATATGAAATAAAGTGATTTTAAGGAAGTATCATGATGTTAAGCTTAGATTTGGTGAACAGATGAGGAGCTTAGGGACCATTGGAAGACTGAGAATTATTTCTGTTTTTACAGTTTCTGGCTCTAAAGAATGCTGTCATTTTGCAGACTTTTCAAAGACAGCGTGTCTTTTAGGACATGTCGTTTACACGTAGCCGGGTGTTCACAAAAACAGATTCAAAAATAACATCGTTCACAGATTGTTTTTTTAAAAAAAATCTTCGTTTACACAAACCTGCATAAATATGTTGGTAAGAGCTGCTATGAGCTGCCAAACCTACAGGGGGCAGTGTAGCAAGAAGCATAAAAACAACAATGAATGACACAAATTACTTCCACGATAATGGTGCTAGGGTTGTTTGTTTGGACCGACAGAGAGGTGGAGCAACTCCTAAATGTGGTACGTAAAAAAACGTCCATTTCTATCACAGTAACCAAACTGTAAACATGGTCGCACATTGATGACGGTTTTGTCGCACACTGTGATGTCAAACTCCGTCTCCTCCCGTCTACATGCAAACGTATAGACGGAGTTTTTCCAAATCTCCACTTTGGCCGGAGTTTTCGTTTTTGGTGACTCGTAGCTTCGTTTACGTGTAAACCACACCCCCTCTGAGATATCACCATTCTTGTTAGGTGTAAACGGGGCCTTTATCCTGCCAGCAGGTTTCTGGGTTAGGAGGGTTGAGACCAGCTGACTATTTTACTCGTTGCAAGAACAGAAATTCTTACAATCCACTCTGACTGCACATTCCAGAGTGAAGGCTCCGCCCCCACAAAGGATCTTTGGTCGAGTTCAGAAACACAAGCTTTGTTTGGCGTATTGTAACATCACCAGAGAATTAATGCTAATTGGTGCCAAAGGCGATAAAGTTCTTTAAACTGAGGTGACTGATGACAACCAGCTTTAACAGATTAAACAGCGTCTGTGCTCGTTGGGAAGAACCCATCTGAGCTTCAGCTCTTCCAATCATCTGTCCTCACTTATGTGGTCCGCCTGCTGCTAAGGTTTCAGAATTCAAAACTCACTTTTCATTGTCTTCTTTTTTTTTGTTTGGAGCAACAACTTTCCAAACAAAAGCACTATTTTTCTATTTAAACACAGATTACGGTCGCTGCTGCTGGCTGATGCTCCGGCGTGATGACTAACTCTCCCCGTCTCCTGCTCTCACACACATCGTTGTGTCGTTGCAGCGTTCTACTCACTGGTGTCACAGTTCTGGCCCGTCCAACCAGGAAGGCACTCGCAGAAGTACGCTCCAATCAGATTTCGGCAAGAGTTGGCGTTGACGCAGGGGCTGTCGTCACACTCATTGGCATCTGAGAGAAAACAATAAACAAGAGAATAAACAGATTAGGGAGAAAGCACAGCGTCCTGCAGACAGCGGGACTTTAAAGAGCAACGTCTGCTGGCTTTGATTTACTCGTCCATGCTGATAGCTGATTAATGGCAGAAAATGACACACAGCTGCGATCGTTAAACCAACTGAAACCAGCAGAATAATGTTGGAATATGGGAACAATAAAACTGCTGCAGTCCTGAAATGCGTTTAGGGAGGAGATCTTAGCGCACCGCTGATGGGAGAAATCAGCAACTGAACAAATTTAAAGGTAATGCTGATAAAATCTGAATTGTTCTGTTGTTGGCAGAAGGTTTCCACCTTTTAGTAAAACAAGAGCATGCTGGCAGATGTTCTGTGGAGCTGCCAGATAAACCAACGATTGGATGTGTCACAGGTTTGTCTGTCAGAAACTTTACATTTCAGGGGACTGTCTGTTTTTTTCTGGACTAACTGGATCCAGGTGATGGTAATGACTTTGTTGTAAATTATTCTCAGCTGCACATGGAGGGTCTTCTCTGGAATTAACAACAGATTTAAGTGATGTACGTAGAATGTGGAAAGGGACAGAAAAATACAGCATTTCCACTTTTTTGTTTTGCTATTTTCTCTTTTTTTCCAACCAGTCATTTGCTAACTTGCAGCTTTTTGTGTCTGCGTTTAGCAACATTAGCGGCGTGTCAATAGGTGGCGCCGTCAGTCTGTTGCTCCAGACTGAAAGATCTCAACTCTGTTGGAGGGAGGGCCGTGAAATCTCATGTTCCCTTCCGGACAAACTCCAGTGAGACTCTGATTTTTCATGTAGCAGGTCAACAATGCACATTTCTGCATAACTCAGGAAGTATTTGAAATTAGCATTCCAGCTGCACCTTATGTTTAGATCTAATGAACAGAACTGAAGAAACCTTTCAGGTGAGAAGTGAAACATCATTCGATTACTCTGCTTGCTGGCTTCATGGTTCTTCTTTTGGTGCCAAATTGGTTCATTGGTTGGTGCCAAAGTGACCCAACATTTCAGCATTATCCTATAAGTGGACTTGTGGCTACCTCGTCTCCTTTTAAGCAAAAGAAATGGTTTTGCTTTAAGTATCGCCTCATTAGCTTTCTCTATTTAACCAGTCAATGAGTTACCAAGGATACAGATGTCAAAAGGTCGGGGCATCAGCATCCTGACAGCAGATGGAACAAACAACATTCCTAAATCACTCGTACCAAATGTAAACAGCATTAAACTGAAGGCTGCGGTCGCCATTTAGAGTCTGTTGTTCAGGAGCAAGTAACATCTAAAAGCAGCGGCCGTGTCTAAAATCATTTAGCAGAGACACCAAATCCAGCGCAGGCAAACTAAGCAGCCACAGTTGGAGGCTGAGGAGCATGTGGCTGGTGGTTGGTGGTAGATTAGTGGTGTGGTGAGGAGATCCGGGGCGCTAAGCCTCCAAACCACAACCATTCCTGCAGGGATCATCCTGGAGATTAGGAAAAACCTCAGGAAGGATGTGAAGGATTGAGCTCTAACCTGCTGGGTTGAAAATGCTTGAGGAAAGTTTTTTGGCACAAAAAGATGCATGTAGTCGGCTGGAGCTGACAAGACGCTCTGGGAAATTTCAACAATGGAACGGATGAATCATAGGAGCAGAACAAATCTTGTGGTGCTGAATTAAAGGAGCACTGACCGATGAGGCAGGTCTTTCCAGCCCACTGAGGAGGACAGACACACTTGAAACCGTTAACCAGGTCCTGGCAGGTCCCCCCATGACTGCAGGGGTTCGCCACGCACTCGTCCACGTCTGAGACACAAAACGAAGGTGATGTTTATGACGTTTTATGACGAGGTTCAAAAAGGATTAGAAGTTAGAGAGGAGAAGGTCTTACTGATGGAGCACAGTTGTCCGGACCATCCGGGGGCACAGAGACACTCGAAACCCTGACTGGTTTCTGCACAGCTTCCTCCATTCAGACAGGGGTGAGAGAGACAGGCGTGGTCTGCTGTGGAGACACAAGATCCAGGTCAGCTACAGTCAGTTACTCCTCCAAAAGTTTCACAGCTCATACTTTCTGGACTGACAAAATGCTTCAGCTTTTGACTCAGTTTTCACTCCTCCACAGGGAGTTTCCTGCTCGTACAGGGCCGGCAAGTATGATCAGTGCATGTACAGTAAAGGCAAAGAATCTGAATCAACAAAAACGTCTCCCGTTGAAGTTAAACTAGTGCTGCTGGTGATTTTCCTTTACAAAACCATTTACCAAACCAAAGCCCCAGTCAGAGCCAGTTGGTAGGCCACACTAGGATTTTAAGGAAAACTTGGGCTTCTCTGAAATACAAACACTTTGTTCAAATTAAAGGTGGTTTCATATTTTGTGCATCGATCTGTCATTCTGAAAATGGCTGGCCTGCTTGTTGCAGTGGTTTGATGGTCGAACTTGAGAACCAGCTGCTGGTTAGAGCTGTATGACTATCCATCCATCCATTATCTAGGTAACCAGTCTATCACAGGGCTACACTTAGAGACAGACAACCAAGCACACTCACATTCACACCTACGGACTATTTACAATCACCAATTAGGAGGAAGCCGAAGAACCTGGAGAGAACCCACGCTGCACGGGGAGAACATGCAAACTCCACGCAGAAAGATTCCGGTGCCCCACCGGGACGCGAACCGGCGACCTTCTTGCTGCGAGGCAACAGTGCTACCAACTGCGCCACCCTGCAGCCCACAAATCAATCTTGGTGCATCATAAAAACAGGATGTCTCAAGTCTTACAATGCATGTCAAGGAGAGAGAATCAGGGATGGAGGAGGCTTGCTGCAGGAGCATGCACAGATGCTGTGTCGGCAGCAGGACAAACAAATGCGTGTACATGATATACACACACCACTATTCTGTGTCATGTTGTACTTTTATGACAACACTTGAGTCCAGATAACAACAGCAGCTTTCAGTTTAAAAACAGTTTTTTTATTGATATTTTAACTTAAGCTATCAAACTTAGGCGCTTTAATGTGACCTGGCTCTTCCATGACGGAGATCAACCTGCCAAACCGTCCTCCGTCTGATTCATCAGGTCATAATCCACAAACCTTCAGTTTTCAGTAATTAACAATACAGTTAGAATAGATGATGATGGCAGAACTGAAGTCTCTTCATGATGCTCTGCAGGATCAGGGGACTGAAAGTTTCCCCCCTCACCTCTCTGACAGCTGACCCCAGAGAAGCCTTCAGGACAGGAGCAGTGGTATTTGTCTGGTCCCGTGTTGCTGCAGGTTCCTCCGTTCAAACATGGCTGCCGTGTCCTGCATGTATTCAGGTCTGCAAGACAAAAACAAGCATCCACGCTTTAAATCAGGCAGCTAAGAAGAGCTCAGTAAAACAGAGTAATAGAAACATGCAGGATGTCAGTTTCAGGAAATAAACTGACATCAAACACCCAATCTGGCAACACCATTAAAAAACCATCTATGAGGAAACTTGCTGAAGATTTATCTCCAGCTACCGGCCACCACGATGGCACAACGGCTCACTAACATTTCCCTGAAGGTTTCTTCTTTACATCATCCACAGATTACGAAGCAGTGACTTTCACAGAAAAGCTGCAGAGTGATGTCCCATGTGATGCCGTACCAACGTGAAGCTCCATTTATCTAAATACTGATCCTATTTAAACGCACAGTGTGTGTGTTTGTGTAATTTACGCCGCAGGGATTGGGGCTGCATGACAAACTGTTTCAGCCGTGACACTGTCGAGCGCTGATGCTCGATAGTCACGCTGCTGGTGTGTGTGTGAAGGAGGGCAAATAACTCAAACACATCAGGCTACTCATTAGCTTCTGCTGAGAATCTGAAAGAACACATCTGACAGCAAAATGAGAGGAGCAGAAGAGAAAATACTGCAAAAGAAGTTTTTGTGGTAAAAAGAAAGACCATCAGATGTATGGAAACATTTCAGTCATAATGGGGGCATAAATCTGTTTCACGCAGCGGGAACGTATGGGTTTCATTTAAGGACAACAAGCAAGACCCCATAACATAAATCACAAGACTGTCGAGTGGAGACTTGCTTTGAGGTTGGCATTAGAGTAAGTTACGTAAATCAATGTACTGTCCTCTGAAGTGATGACTGCATGTGAGCGTGTACCTTTGTCACACAGCTGTCCTCCATAGTTGGTGTCGCAGAGACACTGCCAGGGCTCCACACAGCTGCCGTGAACACAGCCGGGATGAGGGATGCACTGGTCGCAGTACTCCCCCTGCCAGCCGTACAGACACCTGGACGACACGTTTGGACGCAACGCACGATAGAAACAGAGAGGAAACGGTTTAGACACAGAGGAAGCAGCGCAGCAACAGCTCCAAATAATAACAAGTGATCAACAGTGACATTAATGACATTAATGTTGAGCATCAGAGCAACAGCTGATGTTTACTTTCACTACAAATGAACATGCAGATTATTTTCCTTAAATGTTCAAACCCCAATGTTACTGAGCTGTCACGGACACCACTGAGATTTATCATCTTATCGATTATGCAAAACATCGGTGTGTGACAGTGTGTGTGTGTTCTCACTTGCACTCTCCAGGGACTTTACAGGATCCATGTTCTGTGCTGCAGCCCTGTCTGCAGATCGCTGCAGAGAAACAGCAAGAGGAGAACGTACATTTCTTTGTCAGCAGCTGTCTTGATTTACCCACAAACTTCTACATGCAACAACAGGGAGAACATCGTACAGGCCCTGCTCTCCTCTGCATCAGCACACAGCAGTAAAGTCACTCTGATGAACCATCTCTGTTTCCATCTGACAAGGCACGCTTTAATAGCTTTGATGCGAACAGAAGCTTTACGCCATTAACATCTACACAACAAATATATGCAGCACCAAAAACTAATCAGATCATCTGCTCTGAATGCAGAAGCTGTGGTACATCTGGACAGTTCTGAGAGACTTACCAGTGTTGCAGTTTGGGCCAGACCAGCCCTCCAGGCATGTCTTGTTGCCGTTGTGGTCGCACTCATAGTGGCCGAAGAAGTCGTCTCGAGGCCGGCAGAACTTGTTGCAGCCGAAGCCGTAGTAGTGCTCGTCGCAGCTGAGGCGGACCTGGAAGTGGAACTGGGCCACGGGGCCGTTGTGCTTCAGGCTTTGCCACTGGCGGCTGGGGTTTATCATCCCGGAGTGGACGGCTTTCTCGATCACTGCGCCGCCAATACCTGTGGACACAAGCATCAGTAAAAGCACAATCATGCTTTCCTTCTGGCCCAGATGAAGCCTCTCGGGCCACACAAAGGTACGTTTTTGGCCAATTCATGGTTTCCAAATCCCCATGCACTGACACTGGGTATTTATTTCTTTAACAATGTAAATTTGGCCGATGAACTGAATGACCATCTCCTCCTGAGGATGTGAGCTCTCAGTGACCTCTGCTGTTCGGTCAGTGAGGAGTCTGTAGGACAGCAGCACAGGGAGGCTGGTCGCTGTAAACTTCCAGAGAGTTTGAAAATGCTGAGCTGCTCTGTGGTATTTCACCAGCAGGGTGGAAAGTGTGGTCGGGCCGAGGTGACGGCATCTGTTTAACCGATGGACTGCTGGACTGAAAGAGCCGAACAGAAACTTAGCACGAAACCAGAAAACCTCTCAGCGGGTAACACTGTCGCCCTTGAAGCAAACTGCAACACTTCACATCACGGTGGAGAATAAAAAGTGCTAAAAATTGCACCGAGGCAGCAGATTTGAAAAATAGTTAACCTCAAAAAACGGCTGGATCCGCTCCGTCCAGGATATTTGAGCAAATATTCAAACCTGGCACTCCGTCGATGAATCCCGCCTGAGGTGTGGAGCCGACACCTGCCTGAGAGCTGAGCACGTGAAACTGAAGAAAAACGCCACTGTTCCTTCCTTCCTCCACAAGTTACTAAAGGGCTGGTCTGAGGTCTGCAGTCCACCTTTAACAGGGTTTGGGCTCGTTTCTTTGTTTGCACAAAAGCCAGCACTTTTTATTTCAAGATTTACATGTAAAAACATTTAAAATGACGAAGGATTTGTTCGATGAGCTGGACCTGATCCAGCAGAGGGCATTCTTTAGATTCAGTTTGAGCTATAACTTCCCTGTTCACGAATCAATAAACAAAGCTAATCGATAGAAATGGAGGATAGGTGCTGATTAGATAATCACAACATGAAGTATTCAAGATGTGTGTTGCACTAAAATGTCAGGGTTTGGTCTGAATCATTTCAGATGAATTCTGGTGAATTTCCCTTTTAGAACAGCGTAAACACTCCTTCCAGTCTTCACTACAGACAGTGGAGCTGTTCATGGAGTCGAGCCCTCAGGCACAGAGGCACTGCTGATGGAACTTTGAACTGTGGATTTACTGAGTACACTGTAAAAGCAAAAGCCGCTCTTTCAACTTCAGACTCGATTGTCAAAGCTGCATTCATTGATTTCTAAGCAGCTGCACAACGAGCTGTAAACACAACACGGACGTTATCAGCAAACAGCTTTGTACATTTCTGCTTCTACAGAGCAGACATGGAAACATGATTGGAGTGTGTCTGATCTTCAACCAGCCTCACCAATTATCCGTTTAGTTATTTCAAGATTTTAATGAATGCATTTAAAAGTGCAGTACAGGCTTTGATGCAGCCCTCAGTGAGTAACAGCCCGCCGACAGCAGCACCTGACTGGTCACATTTCACAGGCAGCGGCCAATCAACGCTGAAGGATAGATGTTAAAAACGTCTGTTTTAATTCGACACATCTGAAACATAAATAATCAAATATGCATTCCAACAAAGTTTTGTGTTGGAGGTTTTGTTTTTCTAAATCTTGGCACCAAGATTTCTTTTTGTTCTTCTACTGGACATGTGCATGGTGGAGCGGTGGTTAGCATCGTTGCCTCGCAGCTAGAACGTCACCGGTTCGTGTCCCGGTGAGGACACCCGGGATCTTTCTGCGTGGAGTCTCCATGTGTGGGTTCTCTCCGGGTTCTCCGGCTTCCTCCCACAGTCCAGAAACATGTTGAGGTTAATTGGTGATTGTAAATTGTCCGTAGGTGTGAATGTGAGTGTGCTTGGTTGTCTGTCTCTAAGTGTAGCCCTGTGATAGACTGGTTACCTGTCCAGGTGAACCTGCCTTCTACTCTCGTCAGGATTAAGCGGTGTATAGATGATGGATGGACTAATAATTGGATGACTATTATCTTTGTGACTGTGGGTGATTTCTTTCATATTCATAAGGAGTCATTTGCTCTGCTGTTAAAATGAAAATACTCAGCAGCTCAGCTTTATTTGTTCTTTGTTGGTGTAAAATCATGAGCGTGTGATACCGATGGAGCCTCACTTCAGCAGTCTGAGCTGCTACCTGAGCCGAACGAGGCAGGTGTTCATTACAGGCCATGTGCTAGAGGCACTTAGCTTGTTGATGCTAAACTGAGAAGGTCAATATTTGCTCTGTCCTCATTTGGCTCCCCAGCAGCTCCAGCTTCGACCTTTCAGCTCTGTTTGTCTGCCGCACGGTTTCTGAACAGACACTCCAAATCTCACACACAGATTCAGCAGCGCAGCTTAACTGGCAGGCAGCACATTTCTGGCTTCACGTTTGGACTAAATTAAATGGACTCCAAACCCTCATGGCCTGCGCTGAAGCCCACCTGGGCTGAGGTCAGTTGACTTCACACCAGGCCTATAATGGTTGCCCGTGGGACGCCAAATACAGCACTGAGCCAACACTCTCGCTTCGACTGCCTCGCTGACCATCAGGTGATAAACTGAGGCTCAGGCAGGAGTTGCCAGCTTCACGCTACCCACACACTCCCTTTACGATCCGTTTTCTGAATGGGACTCAGCCACGGCCTGCAGACACCTCCACAGGTCGCTGTAGGACGCTTTGTTCTATTTTAAACATCACCTGTGCAGTTTCTAGATAAGAGACAGACAGCTTGGCAATATTGGTCATTTAATTTCTGTTGAGAATTTTTAATCAAACAGGGATCTTTTTATTTTAGGGTCATTCTCACCTTTTTTTTTTTGGAGAGTCAGTAGTGAAGAGACAGAAAACAGAGTTGCTTAGGATGCAATAAAAGTCTTTGGCAGAAATAGTAGTTTATTCTGATCGTTGAATGAGCTACATGCTGGTAAAAAGTGTTAACTTTTAAAATCATGACTGCATATGTTTGAACTCTATGTTCTTCAGTTTTTATTGGCTTATTTATTTATATATTGGTTCCCTCACTTTTTTGCAGTGTATTTGCTTTTGCAGTCCTTGTTTGCCAGTAAATGGAACATGTTGACCAGGATTATCTATCTGAGATGCTGCTGGTCTAAGACTCGGTGTGCATTAAGTGAACTCAGTTTGATCGTGCTGATGATACTCACTGCTGGAGGACGAGTCGTTGTTGAAGTCCAAGGCTTCCACGATCAACGTGTACGACCTCTGCACACAAACACAAACACAAACCATTCATCAATACAAACTTTGCCGACTGATTGATAATTACAAATGTTATCAATCGAAATACCAAAGATGTTCTGGTTCCAGAATGTGAGGACTCTCTGCTTGGGCTGGACGTTCTGGGAAACAGGACCATTGTCAGGCCTCCTTCTCCAGTGCAGCAGTGCACGAGGTCCTTGTGTTTACACAACTGTGTGTGACTGTGTGTGAATTCAAATCCCAAAGTCCTGTTATTTTGGCTCCGCTTTGAAACTCTCTTCAGGCCACTACTGCTCTCACCGCTATCGGATAACAGACGGACCAGAGCCACCGAGCGAATGTGACTGTGTGTTACTGCAGCTTGATGCTTGGAGGCACATCTATTATCCAATCAGCCAATCACATGACAGCCGTTCAGTGCAGGTCCGGACCGCGAGTTGAAGGTGATTCTGATCAGTACAGTTTCTGTCAGATTCAGTGAATGTCTCCTTCTTGTCTGTTCTGTGTGCGTGCTGAAAAAACAACCTGGTGTTCTGACACGGCCCGACTCTGTAAATGGGAAATAAAGTGGTTCAGACCGATACACACAACAGTATGCTAGCAGGTCCTCGTGTTCGCACTTGTGCACAGGACACGTGGAAAAGAAGAGGCAGTGGGAGTCGGAGGGATGGTAAACCTGACCAAGTGTGCTAAAAGAGCTAAATGTCCACGACCATCTCCTGGATTTCCACAACAGTCTGTAGCGTTGACTCTGAAGACTGTGAAAGAAAGGCTAATTCATAACTACTCTGTTCAGCAGAAAAGCATCTCAGAATGTACACGTCCAGCCTCGAGGTGGAACGGCCTCTGACCACGTGCATCCCTTCAGGGTCACACCATCTTCTGATGCGTGCTTCCAGTAGTGGTGAACAATAAACATTCACGTTGCAATGTCCAAATCACTACAGCTGGGGATGACGGTAAAATGTGTCACAACATATCATTTTAAATAAAGCATTCTGGTGCAGCAAGAGAAATTCTGGCCCACATATCATCATCATCATCCACAGAGATAAGGCTTGTTTGGTCCAGACTACGGCAACAATCACAAGATTATTTTGAAGTTTGTTTCACCGGGAAAGAAAACTAAAATCATGACACATGGCAGTAACTATCGAAACAATCGCAACATGATGTTTGTTTTGCATATTGTTTAGTCCAAACTTGCACCAGAATAAACTGGTTGAGTGTTACGAAGTCACGCTGCTGCTATAAACCCGACCGTGTGTTTAGTTGCCTTGTAGCTGTTGGTAGAGCAGATCAGCAGCATGAAGGTGCAGCTAGGGCAGGGTGATACGGCCGAAAATCACCATATAAAGGGGAAAATGTGCGATATAATTGATGCTATAATTGATGCTAGACCAAATACTTCAAAACTGCACAACTTTAGTGGTGCAAATAAAAAAAAAAAGAACGGTTTATTTTCCATTTAGCAAGCAGCTGTTTTTGAGGTGCATTTAAGCTGTAATGTACCAAAATCAATAGTGCATAAGGTGTAAATTGTTTGCTGACATTTTGTTCAATCAAAAGGCCTTTCAGATGGAAATGGGTCGACACATCCTGAGCACAACAATGCATAGTATCCACAACAGTAGAGTAGAGCTGCTTTACAACATAAAACTTTGCAGCCAGTTTCTTTGGATTCACCATCACGTCAGTTGGGGGGTGTACAGGTGAATATTCAGACCGACAGGGTGCAAGTGGGCGGGACGCACAGGCAGGACTTGGCTGCTGATGCCAGTTTAGGATAGCGGTCACAGTCCTGGAGGGTAGCGGCGGGTGGCGGATCTCAAAATTGCTATCTGGACATCACCACAACAACCGAATACTCCGATATCTGGGTCCAACTCTACTGTGTCGGTCGATGCATTCGCCCTCCTCCTCGGTCGCCGCCGTGCTTCTCACTCCACGTGCATTAGACCAGACGAAGACAACGGCGTTGCACATTTTATCACGATATTTCAGTTTCACATCATCCCCTAACACGACACCGGTGTTACCGAGCGCAGTACGATGTGGTCCAGCCCTCATGCAGCTGACAAACCTGCAGAAATGTCATGGAATCATGCTGACGTGCAAAATCTCCAAAGTTTCCAACAACTTGTGGAATCCTGAGCCTGTTTGTAAATCTGTGTTTGAGTGGACATAATTAAGCTCCATGCCACTGTCAGGAGGACACCGTCCACAATCATTTTGCTCATGGCTGCTTTTCAAATCAACCCAGTCAATACATGCAGAAACAAAATCACAGCAAACCATAAGAGGTCATCTACTAATACTAGCTGTGTGCAAAGAGAACTGAAGTCTAACGGCCGACAACCGTGCAAACTGCTTCGGGAGATCTGCCGCAGCTGGAAACAAAAAACCCGATGACACGACTTGACAGCTTCCTGGTCTGAAGCGGTGTTTAGTGTCGTGTCTGACTCTCCGTCCAAATTAAGGTTTTTTTTCAAAGTGTTTTTTCTGATGTCCAGCGCTCGCTGTAAACCTCAGCCTGTGTGGTCTTGCATCATCCCGTCCACATTTATCAAAGCCTGCTGATGTTGGAGTAGATCCACAACAGCTAGATAAACTCCGTCCTACCAGCACTCGGCTCTGCAGGAAACCACAGTCAGTCCGTGCAGTTTACAGATTAGTGGTTAGCTCGGGCTCTGATGTCGGGATATCGAGCACTCAGAGCTGCTGACAGGATTATTGGACCATAATGCGCCGTAACAGGCGTCGCACGGGGGAATCAATCATGTCTTATATGTTCCCTGTGTTGTCTGATCCCTCTGAAGATGAAAATTCACGGTTCATACACTAACAGATAAGAGAATAAAGAATTAGATTTGGTTGGCAGCGTGTGCAGCATTTCCTTCATGTGTTAAACAGCTCCACGGGTTTAGAGAACAACGAGTCACGACGAATCAGTAAGATCTGAACAAAACACAACGTTAGGCCTATAAACCTGCAAAGATCCTCAACATGTATTCTTGGTCACTCCACACAGAGCGTGTCGTGTCTCCCGCTGTTTACCCCGACGCCACATAACTGCCACTAACGCAGAACCGAGCCAACATGCTGCAAGTGAAAGCCCTCTGAACAACTCTTACAACATGCTTGCATCACCGCTCTGGCTGAAACAGGATCTGGGTGTCGGGCTGATGCCTCCCGACCCTGGAGGGAAAATAAACGTGTTGCCCACCAAACACACTGGGTGGCACCCAAAACATTTTAGCAGCTAATCAGATTTTAAGATGACAGCAGGAATGAGAACCTGACAGCTGGTTAGCCGCCAACAGGTTCCACTCACTTCCTGCCAAAAAACATCTAGAGCATTCATGTGCAGGCCGTTGGTGATTTCCCATCACTCCCTGTGCCTTTGATTGTTTGATTGAGGAGGTGGAACTGCTTTCTCTGGCTGCAGCCTCGGTGTGGGAAAATAGTTTGTGAGCCGGCAGGGCCAGGCGACGTGTGGAGGCAGGTCCAGGCCGGGAGGAGGGAGGTGCAAAGCTGTGAACTCCCTCACATTGCAGCAGGAAAAAAAACTTCCTCTGTTTATGTTCTGTTTGGTGGTTTGTGTGACGCCTCATCCAGGCAGGCTGACAGCACGACGAGAATAAGATGCACAGTTAGGCATCACTGGATCTCAAAGTAAAACTGAGAACATTCAGAGAACTCCCTGAAGAGATCCACAGCAAAACAAGGACACTGTTTGTTTCTGTCAAAGAACCAGCTGATGGTTATTTTCATTTTCGGGCCAATTACAACATCTTTAACACGTCTTTCATAAATGTTTGTGTTTATTAATCCAAAATCAGAGATATTCAGCTCATGATGACAGAAAAGTTCTCCAGAAACCATTTTTGAATGTTTGAAAGAAGAAAAAGCTGAAGGCTCAATCGCTAACTGGAAATACGGTATTCAGTGGTTTTGTTTTAAATTCAAACCAGGTACCCTCTGACAGATTGACACCACGGCCACACAGGGGCTTTACAGCAAGTAGCACCACAACTGGCAGGGGGAAATGAGCATTTTTCAGAAATAAACCCTTTGAACCCCAAGGACTTGTTACAGATAACATGTCTTTCAAACGGGCTCCAAGTTTCAGGGAGTTAAAAAAAAGAACATGATTTGGAGATCTGTTTTTAGGTACTTGCAAGTCAGAAAAGCAAAATGTAGTCAAGTTTGAGTTTCTCTTTAGAGTAAAAGCAAATGTTTATCTGCTAAGAAAATGAGCAAAGACATGTGTGATGCTATATTTAGGTTTGACACGAGAAAATACACAACTTAAGGGCGCCTTGTTACAGCTCAATAATCTGCATTTAATAAAAAACTGAACAATGGACTGCCTATAAAACCCATCACCAAGACGCCACCTAACCTCGACTGAGTATGAGATATTCAATGCATCAATACGTTGTGTACCTCACAGATACTGATGCTTGTGATTATTCTCCATTATGAAAAAAAGTGATGAAGTTATGAGTTAGACAAATACTGTCCAAGTGCACTGCAGGGGACAGATGTGTCAAATTTAAAGGCAGAGAAGACAAAAGCAAACGACTCATAAACTGCAGCCACACATACGAGGCGTGTCAGAGGAGTTCAAGGGCTGGTGACACAAAAGAAAGGGTTTCAAAATACAAACTAGGAGTTTTCCCCTTCAGACGATCAACCAGCACGTCCACAAAGAGATCCGTTTGCTTCGTTCAGAAGAGGCAGAGCTGTGGCAGGACCAGTGGAGGCTGCTTCACCATGACAACCTGCTCACAGCGCCCTGAGCATCCCACAGCTCCTGGCTGAGAAGAACATCTCCGTGCTGGAGCAACCTCCCTGCTCACCCCACCTGGCTCCGTGGGGTTGGTTCCTCTTCCTCAAGCTCAACAGGGGTCATCAAGGAGACCCGCTTAGAAGATGTGGACGACATCAAGATGGCTGTGACGACGGAGCTGAGAGGATTCTGGGAGAATCCTTCCATG